TAGTGAGTTAACACAGATTACAGGTTCAGAAAGTTTAAATTAAAACACCCAAGCAAGAGTATTAAATATAGCAATTAGTAGAGAATCTTTAGGTGGACTTCTTAAATAGGTAATATAGAAAAGTTATATATATAGCCAATTGTATACTCTCCTGTAATAGTTCATTGACTACAATACTAATAAGTGTTTAATAAAAGTCAAAAGATTAAAGAGGTTACCTTAATACCAAAAAAATATATATATATAAAATAATATAATACATTTTAAAATAACTTGCAAAGTGAGGATGGTGATCTTAGTGTAGTAGTTGGGTTGTTATCCTTCAAGTAGCAGGTCTAAGGTTCAAATCCCATCTATGACAAAATTTGGAAATTATATCTGCATTATAGTAACTGTTTCCTGTCGATTGGTTGGCCTTATGTGGCTGTTACCCAGGTACACCAAGTCAGGTCCCTCTGACATTAGGAGCTTAGGCATCTATGTGAAGTATAACATTACACATATATAGAGGAATGTTTACCAGTGTTGCATAAGACTTTGGTGCAAACTCACAATAAGACCATCAGGTGTAGAAGACTAAGAAACTGAGGTAACAGAAACCTACTTGGAAATTCTCGAGTAAAGAGGTAGCATAAACTTTCGATGCTACCATCAGACCAGTTGAAGCCCATAAAACACCTTCATAGGAACCGAAAATTAAAACCAGATGGCAAATATGTGTAGAAGAGCACATAACCAACTAGGCTGCCAGCTTTGCCGGAGGAAAAGAATATAGAAGTATACTATACCAGGCCATCTAGATTGGTAGTCTGGACTAAGACTGATGGTTTTGAGTTGTGGCTAGTAGAGGATGATAGAGAAGATGCTGAAAAGATGAGTACTGGGTTCTAGTGAACTTTACAAGGGTAGAAATAGTATAACATAGTAGTTAAACAGGTAAACCCTATAACTGCAAATGTTAGGTAACTATAGTGTGTTGTATAAAACTAGGTCTATATATATAGGATATAAAGGCTTTAGTAAGTTTCCTATCAAGAATAAAGTAGTTCTAAGGATACCGATAAGCATCAAGAACTTGGATGGGCAGCACCTTGAGATGTTCCTATTATACAAAGAGGACTGCATATGCAGAGGGTTTAAATAGGCAAGACCCCTAGTTGGCTTGCAGGTATGGCAACTAGTGTAGAACTTATATAGTAATGTGTAAGCGAACTACTTAAATTAGGCACCAAAAGTGCACATGTGGTTAGTTGTAACCTCCAATGTAAGGTAAGCCCCTGGTGGCATGCTATGTCCTAATATACTTGAATAAAAACATTGCAACTCCCAAGATAGAGACTTTAACTTTAAAAAAAAAAAAAAAAAAAAAAATAACTTACAAAGTTATTTTAGTTAGATAAGTAACTAAATAGGTTTATAATTTATTTTTTTTAAATATTAAGGTAAATATTTGTAAGCCAGAATTTTATTAATAATATATTTGACTAATAGTTATATTACAATCACAGAAGGCAATCATAAAAAAAATATACAACTAGCTATTTATACAACTTTAGTTATTGTTTAATTTAAGTAGTCTGCCTAAAGGTTTTATACTAGCTGTTATATCTGCAACTTGCTTGTAGGTTTTTTATTTAAATATTCTAATTTTTATATCTATTCATCTACTTTTATTTACTAACAATTCTAATCAATATTATGAAAATATGTTATAGCTACTAAGTCTTTAAAGCAGTTTACTTATATAAAAAACTTTTAACTTTGTACTAAAGCTTTCAGAATCTTCTGTATTCTATTTTTACAACTAACTTAGTATTGCTATGATTGAGACCAACACTTGCAATTAAGACATACTATTAAACTGCTATAATCTTGTAAAGTTTACCACAATTCTGATACTAATTTCACAATATATTTTTATTATTTTGGTATTCATTTCAAGTTCTACCAAGCTGTTAATCCAAATAGCTCAAAAAGATAGATCATAATTATACACTTTTGGTTTATATGTTTTTTAGTATATACTCTTTTTTTCTAAAATTCAGAAATTTTAACAGCCTAGTTGGTTTATCTAATATCTTTTCAAAGACTAGCATATTTGCTTGGCTTCATGAGTTCTACTATAGCTTTATTTTATAGATCTAGTCTTTATAGTAACACTGTTGAAAGTTCAGATTATCTCTTTACTTAAATTTTCCAAGTAGGCTTTTGTCTTTCTATTTTGTTTCTGTGATTTACACAAGCTAAAAACTTATCATAGGTTTATATTACCTAGTACCAGTTTGTGTTCCTTTATATAATATTGTATAAATGTCTAGATCTTTCAGTCATACTGGTATGACATAAGCTATAAACAGTATTGTTATGTCTACTATGTCCAAGATTTTTTTTGACTATGTTTAACATTTAAATATTTAAACATTCAAGAAGGTCTACAGTATATACAAGCTTTAAAAATTAATATATTAATTTAAAAAATATATAATATATATTTTTTATAATGCTGAATATTTTTTTTTTTTTAGTGTTAAGATGACCTCTTTGGCCTTTTGACTTTTATTAATCACTTATTGGTATTATGGTTCAATAAACCACTACAGAAGAGTGTACAATTGGCTACATGTGTAACTTTTTTATATTATCTATTTAAGAAGTTTGCTCGAAGGTTCCCTACCAATTGCTGTATCTAACACCTCTGCTTGGGTGTTCTACTTTAAACTTTCTGAACCTGTAACCTGTATTAACTCACTAGGTTATATTCAGATACCCAGATCATCATCTCAACTTTAGGACTAATTTATTTCCAAAGTAAACCCTTCAGAGCCTTCTGTACACATTTTTACAGCTAATCTAGGTATCACTATGGCAGAACCAATACTTGTGATCAGAGCTGACCATTAAACCATTATGTCTTTGTAGAGTTCACTTAGACCTTAGCATCTACTTTACAGCATAACTCAGATATTTTAGTATATCTTTGCCTTTTTCCTTGTCTTTTTACCAAATTCCAATTTAGATAGCCTATATAGAACTATGACTAGTCCATTGGTATATCAGGTTGACCCAATATTCTTTTCTTCTAGTTTATTTTGGTGGTCTGGTTGGTGATACTTCTGAAACTTCCAACCTGAAGGTTCTTGCCTGTCTGACTACTATAACCAGGTACTAGATTTTAGTATCTGTTTCTCCAGGCTAGCCTTTATAGTAAGGCCATCAAAGATCCAGCTACCTTTCTACTTGAGTTTTCTCAAATAGACTTCTTGTTACCTAATTTCAATAGATTTACATGGCTACAAGAACTTATCTAGTGTTTGTACTGCCTGATTTGTTAGTTTGCATTTCTCTGTATAACTCTAACATTGCACAAATGCTCTATGACCTGCCAATTATACTGGTGTAACTGCTATTACAGGTATCCTAACCTAATTGTTAGTAACAGTTGCCATAATACAAATATTACATAGGTGATTATCCAAATTTTCACTATTGATAGAATTTGAATACCCAACCTACCACTTGGAGGGTTGACAACCTGACCACTTCACTAGGTCGCCACACCCCTAATGTTATTCTTTTTGTTTTAAGACTTTTACTATTATATATACAATTTCTTAAATTTTTGTTTTATTAAAGACTTTTTTAATTTATTGTTAAACTATATTACAAAAAATCTTGTTATTTTGTTTTTATTTTCTTTTTGTATCCACTCATTACTTATCTGTATTGTTTTATTTTTTATTTTTTTATTTATGTTTATAATTCTTAGTTTAGATTTATTTATTATTAAATTTGAAAAATTCCTCTATTATTTAAATAGTTTGTTTCATTTGTTCTCTATTTTTAGCTATCCATGTTGTATCATTTGCAAAAGCTACTACTGTCTGGTTTCATTTTATTTTCTTGCAATAATTGAGATTGTAATTGTATGAAACTTCTACTTCTGTCATATCAGTAACAATAATTCAAAAAAGATCTTCTTTCTAATTAAATATATTATTTTTATCTAAAAATTTTAACAAATTTTAACTTTCATCTAACCTTTGTGATTAATTGATTTCATAACCTGACTGGGTCAAAATTCGAAAACTTGTAAAAAAAATTTTATAAAATTTTTTATATATGAAATTTAAAAAAAAACCGCCCGACCGTCCGGGTCTGTTAAAAATTTCACGTATGAAAATCAATAAATTTATGTGACCTAATTAAAAAATAAGTATGGAAATTTTTTATTGACTTTATTTGTTTAATACTATTTATACGTAGTAAAAGTTGCAAAATTATTTTTATCCGACACTATATACGTAAATGATAATTAACAAAAAATATGCGTGGATTTAAAGAATGATATTACGTATTTATAAATGTTTATTATTTTATTTTAGGGTCGTTATGTTACAAAGAGATGTTAAAGTATTAAAATGGATTATTTCTATCCTAATCGTTATTCAGGAAAGTACCGTTTATATATTTTTCTCTATATCGTCGGTTCGAAACTTTAACCGACGGCACATCCAATTGGTTCGGATGTGATTACACCCAAATCAGAATTTTATCACCGCCGAATCAAAACTTATCGAATCGGCAAATATTCGTCAATTTTTGCCAAAATTTATGAAAAAAAACAGCTGTAATATGAAGTTGCCGAAAACATTTCAGAAACTTAATAATGCGAAATAACTCGGCGAATCTGCAATACTTTCTATGCCATGCATATAATGAAGGGTATATAAGATTCCATCCGGGAAAAAATCCAGTCAAATTAAGCCTATTATATTGATGTCAAAGAAACTATCTTTGCAATGACGAAATTGAATTTCATCAGTCAGACCTACTATGCTTATCATCACGTGATCTTTAACAACACAGGCGTTAGTTATCTTGGCTGGCTAAGCCTACTTAGCTGCTCCTCCTTAGTGTTAGTTGGCTTTCAATACTACAAAAGACGAAAAGGGTTGTTACCGTTACTCCTTTAAGTAATCTGCCACATATCGGATAATTTAATGGGAGATGGCGTAACGTTAGCAGTATGTACATACCTTCCTTACGTTATAGAGACGTTTTCCAGAAAATATGCATACACTTTTTGACAAATTTTTCTCGGTATGCATCATTTACGCCAATTTACAAAAGGATTTTGATAATACTGAACAAGGATTATACAGCGATATACCAAAGAAACCATCTTCAGATTTTCTGATTTATCACTTTAAAGGAATTAATTTTCATGAGCTTTCGATGACTACTTTAGATTAATATGTACTATCCGAGCCCTATAAGGCGAAAAATTCGAGAATGGATTTATTTTATGGATCACCAAAGCTGTTAGTATTTTAATTTACAAAATCAATTAGTAATCAACTTAAAAACTACTTGATTTTGGGCGATCCCTTTTTTGCGCGTATGTACTGTACGTACCTCCAAAGTTAAAAATCAATAATATTGAGCGATGAATCGGTTGTATTTTTAGTAATTAGCCAATTATTTTTAACGATAAATTAGCAATATTAATTCTACAAACTTACACAATGCAGTGATAGTAAAAGCTTCACACTTATACTACCCGCTCAACAATTTTAACCATAAGGGGTTTTTTAAGAGGTTTCAAGCACCATTTTGATTTATATAGTTTCGTATCGTGTATTTGGATGGTACTGGACGTCTGATTGGGAATGCTATCACATTATTTCGTGAAGAATGGCCGCTAATCATTAGTTGTGGGGTCTGTTGCTTTAAACATGCTTATAAATTAATTCATAATCGCTACGTACATGGAAGGGACAATTATCAGGGAGGTAGATAAAATTGTAAGAAACAAAGGTATATGCGTGATTATATACAAGGGCTAGTACCTTCTATCTATTGATAATTCCCAAATCATGAACTAGATTTACTAAATGCCTGCCATCATTTCATGGAGCGTAGTCCTAGGACCCTTTTTAAGTACCTCCTTGCGAAAGTTTAACGATTCAGTGGGGTGCCAGCAGAAACCAAGCAAATTGTTTTTAGAGAGTTTTTTTTAAACTTTAAATTAAAATATCCCAACAACTATTAAACCAGACTTGGTAAATTTTTTATTTTATTTTAATTCTATAACTTATAGAACTAAATAAAAAATTTTTATCAAGTTTAGTTTAATAATTGTTGAGATATTTTACTTTAAAGTTTTAAAAAAATTTGCTTAGCACCCCCATATATATTTTATATTCAATATGACGCTTCCTGTTTCGTTATCAACGTACAGATTTGTAGGATAACGATTAAAAAGTTAGATTACGATCTATTACCGGTTATTGCATTTGTATTGCCGGGAGTTGCCTGTTATGTTCTTATAGATAGCTGAAAAAAAAAAACTCGTTGCACAAGTAGAATGCATGATGTAAGGACGTGATATTTGATTCTATTTTAAGGTTAGGGTCTCCGTAGATTATTTTTCATAGCAACCACGTAAATCGCAAGACCGGAATAGGCTAATTGATTAACATCAGCCCATATTAAATAGCGATACATTTTAATGTTAGGGTTATATTGGGAAGAATTAAAAAAGTAGTTAAACGAACCTTACATCAAATTATGAGTAGAATCTTTTTTCTTAGAGCATCAAGGGCGGTTTCATAAGCGAAATCATGAAGTAGAAAAGGTTTTTAGAGAAAGTTTTTTTCTTAATTTTGTCGATCAACCTGTCATATATCTTTAAGAAAAAAATTATACACATAATTTTGGTTGTCTAAATTTCTTTTTTAACTTCTAGTTTAACTTCAGCATTAAAATCTGTTTTAGGAATTGGACCCGGTAGAAATTGTTGTTTCTGTTTAATATAGGCCGATGTTGATCAATCAGTTTAACCTGTCACACATTTCGGTTGTAAACATTATGTATTCGACCAATCAAAATTAGTGTCACCTAAGAAAATTTATTTTTTTTTTAAAAGAAACGGTATCCATATAATTTTACTACTATAATAAAAGACCTCAAATTATATACTACAAAAATTTTGGTAAAGATTAGTGATGATTCTAAAAAGTTTATCAGAAGTGAATTTTCGGATCAAATTTAATATAAGGGACCCCAATAATAAAATTAATTACTAAATAATTGATTTAGAGTAGGGTCTCTTATACTAAACTTGATCCGAATTTTCGCTGTCTACTAGGTGTTTCAAAAGTAATTTTATATAGAGAGATCACGATGGATGATTATCATCGTAATCTATATATAGAACTGTATAAAGTCACTTAAAAAAAAGGGACAGTGAAGTGGAACTTTTGAATAGGGATGTTAGGTAATCTGACTACTTTAGTTTTTACAGTACAATTTATATGTAACCAGCTAGTTTGACTGGGTTGGTTACATATAAATTGTACTGTAAAAACCAAAGTAGTCAGACTACTTAACATCCCTACTTTTGAAACACCCGGTATGTAAAATGATCTACGAACACCCTACCCTTAATAAGGTATGTGACAAATCAACTTATAATTTTATCGGTTAGAAGTGCAAGCTCCAATAACCGGGTAAACATGCTCAATTATTAATAGCAAAAAGTTTATCAATAAAGGTCTGAAATGATTGTATCTTCGGTAATTCGAGAGTGACAGGTCTTATTTTAGTATTCCAGATCGTTAGTTAAAAAATCAACTAGTTGCCAACTTTCAACTAATCGATTTAAAAAAAAATCAAACAATTAATCGATTTACCGTCAGCTGGTTCAATCGTTAGTTATCATGACAACTAATTTATCAACTAAACAAGTATTATATAGTTAACCAAGATAATAGTGTAATATAGCAATAATTGCAATCATTGATTGGTAAAGTAATAACAAATAATATATATCACAGATTATCTTAATAAATATAATGCTATTGACATTTTTTTAAAACTTCAATTTTGTTCCAATTTTATCCGTCCCTACTATTCGATATCTATCATTTACTTCACTAATATTTATAAATTGAATCCCAATAAGTTATAAACTAAATATCTGTTTTTTTTTGTTTTTTTTTAAACACCCAATTATTACGCGGGCGTATTCCTTTGCAGTAAAATTAGGTTTACTTGAATATTGAATATACAACCTAGCAACTATACAACTAACAACTAAGCAACTAATCGATTAATTTGGCACGTGATACTGATTTAGTTGCAAATATAGTTGCCAACTAATCGATTACTTTTTAAACGAATCTTACAGTTTATTAAGTTCCACACTGAAAATCAAAGTTATACCGATAAGAAGGTGAAGATCGACCATCGCATACAACCAATGCCCTAAGATTCATTATTATCCGCCTCCAATGGTTCAGAGTCTAAATGAACGTTACAGGCTTTAACATTCGTTTGAGCCAATTGTCAAGTAGAGAGGTTCTTGAGCTATTAATGTAGTTAAAAAAAATATTTTATTTTAATTGAGAATGGACGATTCATTTTTTATAATTTTTGCTATAGATTAATAGTATTCGTTTAAGTCCTAATCATCGAAAAAGATTCATCCTGAATAAGGATTAGACGCGGTAACAGTTACTATCATATGGTTATCCGAAACAGTGTTGACAAATGACAATGTTTCATTTAAAATTTTAGTGACGATTGTCATAGGTCATTTGTCATTTTTGTCATTTAAAAATAACAAATTCTAACCAATCACAGGATTCTGAGAATGTTAGTCAACTCGGATATTTTAGGATTTAACCAATCCTAAAACACCCGAAACAACACATATTTTTGTCATTTACCATTTATCTTCTAAATGATAATTTAAAAGTCACTTTTCAACACTGATCTGAAATATATTTAATCAGGTAACCAATGTAATCCAACAATCTTTTGATAATGATTTTTAATAGGTCAATGCTTATTATTGAGGCATCAGAATTATGCCTGTCAATCTCTTAGCGATATCTCATGAATAGTCGATGTAGATTCGTTTATATACAGCGGCCGATATATGATCAGCTTTTGTTTAAGCCTAATAATTCCTTTAATATTCATATAGGATAGATTAGTGGTGCAATCAAATTTAGGGTCAGAATAGGCCCGGAGCTATGTCGACATTAAGCAATAATACCAATTCCGCCCATTCCGACCCGGATTTTGGCCTACTGAATTTTGGTTGCTCCATGAAATTGTATTGGCAGCAGATCAGTATAATATAGGCCAAAATTAAAAAGGAGTAAAAGCTGATCTGCGAATATACTCTATACTGGTAAGCTATAATTCCTAACGCTAATGTAGATAAAACCGGATCAGTATGATATAGATTCTAAAATTCGGCTTTACTATACTGATCTGCGAAAATACTTTGCTCCACTAACTATTCGTTGGTATACGATGGCCGATATACAATAAGTTTTCGTGTAACGATAATTTTATACCATACTACTGTAGGATTCAATGATTATAGATTAACGAGATGAGATATAGTATAGGTTGCACCTATTAAATCAATTGATTATTTGTTAAGGTGTCGGCTATACTATATTTTATCTGATTAACGTTAAGCATTTTCAGATGTTTTACACAGACACTGTATTGATATTTTGTATAATATTCACCTGTTTCTTTTGTTTTTTTGTTTGTTAATTATATGACGCAATTCCTTCAGCTACAGTATTTAACCCTTAGCGTAGATCTCTTAAATTATTATTTATATATAGAGTGATGCGTATGAATGTGATATTTAATTATCTATATACAAAGAGTTTGATTCCGGACGTAAGAAATCAGGCACGCTTGTTAACAAAACCAAATATAAGCCAATCATATTTCAGAGATGACGTTGGTGGTGAGGTTCACCAACAATCAAGTATATATGATGCAAGTTAAAATTTCTTAATTAAATTAGAATTTTAGAATAAAATTTATTCTATATAAACCTACACCCTAATACCAAAATCTTAGAAATTCCAAACTCACTTAAATTCCATTCTCACAGCATATACACACGCAGGTCTGTTTAATTAATATTACTAACGTAGATGAGGCCTATTCTCTTAAAACAGAGAGAATAGCATCTTGAGAAATTAATATATCGTAATATGTTAGTAACTTATATAATGCTCGATCCAGAGTTTTATGTGTTAATGTCCATGGCCTTTTTTGTTCGCCTATATCATTTTCATGAATGTTTATACTTCATTATAATTTTATCAATTATGTAAGATATTAGTAACTATAATATGTAAAATTAAGTAAAGCATTTATACTTAATGAATTAAATCACATCCGAAGCCAAGTATGTGAATCAAGCCTAGCAT